CCGATGGCTACCGGGCGCCGACCGTAGAGACTGACGATGAGGACAGTCTGTGGGATACCGATAGCGATTCTGACGATGAGACCGCCCAGGTGCGCCGCGAGGTTCAAGAGATGGAAATCGAGGAGCCCAATCACTCCCGCAGTTCTCGCTGGGGAAAGCGGATGGGCTTCCTGTCTCTACCTCAATGGAAATGGTCCTGGAGACCCAGGTTACCCCGACTGAGGATTCAACTACCGTCGCGACCGGATGCGCCCGCTGCCACCTCTACCGACGATAACGAGGCCGACACGGCTTCTAACACCGACGAGACGACCACCCGGAGGAGAGGCTGCTCCACGTGGCCCAAGATTGACAGGACCACAGCAATCATCATGGCCGTCCGCGCCTTTGCCATCTTCATCGTTCTTGGCTTTCTCTACGTGCTCTTCGCCAGCGATCTCTTTAGCGGCTTGTCACAGCGCATAGGAGGAGGCCTCCGCTTCAACCCTGAGGACCTCCGCATTCATGTGCAGCAGTCCGTTGATCCTATGAGGTTGCGCGCTTCTGTTCAGCACTTTTCGAGCTACGCCCACATCGCCGGTACGGAGGGAGACTATGCGACTGCCATGGATGTCGAGAGCATGTTCAGCCGGGCCAAGCTTGATGAGGTCGTTTTGGACGAGTTTAAGGTATACCTCAATTACCCACGCAAGGACGGTCGCGCTGTGCAGATCATGGACAGCAATGATAATGAAAAAATAATATGGGCCGCCAAGCTCGAAGAGGAGGAGGTTGGGGGTGAAACGGCAGGTCGCCAGACATACGCCTTTCATGGTCACTCCAAGTCTGGCGACGTAAAAGGGCCCCTGATTTATGCCAACTACGGATCGCGAGAAGACTTCAGGCTCCTGAAGGACAAGGGCATCAAAACCGAGGGGGCCATTGCACTGGTACGGTACTACGGTACCCAGGGCGATCGCGCCCTCAAGGTCAAGGCTGCCGAGCTGTCTGGCTTTGCCGGGTGCATCATCTACAGCGATCCTGCCGACGACGGTTTCAAGAAGGGAAAAGAGGCGCCGCATGGGCTGTACATGCCAAAGGACGGTGTCCAAAGAGGCTCCGTCAGTTTGATGAGTTGGATGGTCGGTGATGTCTTGACCCCCGGCTGGGAGAGCAAGGAGGGACAACCCCGGATGAAGCCAGCCGACAGCCCCGGCCTCGTGGGCATTCCGAGTATCCCCCTTGCCTGGAGAGACGCCCAGACCCTGCTGCAGAACCTGAAGGGACACGGAAAGGAAGTGCCTGAAGGATGGGCGGGCGGTGTTCCTGAGGTTGAGTGGTGGACGGGCGACGAGTCATCACCTGTTGTCCGCCTCAAGAACGAGCAGGACGAAGTTGACCAACAACCCATCTGGAACGTGTATGGCAAGATTATCGGCATGGAACAGAGATCCAAGTCCATCATCATTGGAAACCATCGCGACGCTTGGGCATTCGGCGCCACAGACCCCCACTCTGGCACCGCCATCATGATCGAAATGGCTCGCATCTTTGGCGACCTAGTACAACGAGGCTGGAGGCCGCTGAGGACCATAGAGTTTATGTCCTGGGATGCCGAGGAGTACAACCTCATTGGGTCGACCGAGTTTGTCGAGAATAACCTCGAGTCCTTGCGCGAGAACGCATACGCCTATATCAACCTCGATGCGGCCGTGTCCGGCAACAACTTCCATGCCGCGGGGTCTCCCATGTTCAGGAAGACGCTTCTCCACGCCCTCGGCCGAGTCACGGATCCAGTCAGTAACGCTACGCTACGCCAGCTTTGGGAGGATCGGAAAGCTGAGTTGGAGGGTCTCGGGGCCGGCAGCGACTATGTTGCCTTCCAGGACATTGCGGGTACCAGCTCGTTGGACCTCTCCTTTGAGGGGAACGGGTACCCCTACCACTCGAGCTATGATAAGTTCGAGTTGGTGGAGGAGCACATCGACCCTGGGTTTATATACCACACCCTCATGTCTCAGGTTGTTGGGCTACTTATCCTCGATCTAGCGGATCGGGCCGTCGTTCCCTTCGACATGCCGTCCTACGGCGATCGCCTTGGGAACTGGGTCAACGATCTTGAAAACTGGTTCACCAGCAAGACGGGGAAGCGGGACGGCAAATCTAGCAAGGCCAGCAAGACTGCCAAGATTGGTAAAAAGGACATATCATTCAAGGAGCTAAAAGATGCCGTGAAACTCGTTCAGCGCAACGCGGAGGAGTTTGAGAAGTGGGAGATGGATTGGGATCGTGTCGTGCTCTCTAACGGAGGCTGGGAGGATAACGATATTGGCACGGCCCGGCTTGAGTACAACGATAAGATGGCCTACTTCGAGACGTCGTTACTCGATCTAGAAATGGGTGGCGGCGTAAGTCAATTCCCACCATCGCTATGCAAGGAAGCATTACTGACCGACACTCATAGGTTCCCAACCGGACGCAGTTTAAACACGTCGTCTTTGGGCCACAGCTTTGGTCGGGATACGACGAGGCCTTCTTTCCCGCCATTCGCGACACCATCGACGCGGAAGACTGGACCGGCGCGCAAAGGATCATATCCAAGACGGCAGCGATTATCCGCAAAGCGGCGACGGTCCTGGAGATGTCATCATGAGCGTGTCTGATTTCCCCGAGATCAGCGTCAGAGCGGGGTCTACATCACGTCTCTGTGAGCCTTCTCACTCACGCTCTCATGGCGGCACAGTATTCTTTCTTCCCATACTTTTTGTTTTAAATCTGTCTACTATATCTTCATCCCCACCTTGTATCTGGTCCGGGTCTGCGTGGCTACACGCGTGTATAGGAGGCATTGCACGGAGTTTTGGTTTGCGCGTGGGGTTGTGCTACTTGAATCCAGCGAAAAAACGCCCGAAGAACAGCTGGCCTCCCACTTTTGATCAGGGCCACGGAATGGGATATTTGTTTGTTTCTATTTCTACAAGTAATGATAGAAAGATGGGGGAGAGACGCAATACGACTTAAGCATTGAGCTATGTCATAATTGATAAGTCTGGAATGAATGTTATCAGGAAGACAGTCCTCTGTCTACATGAAGTGCAAACGGAAGTGAATAGGTGTTCTTCCTTTGCGGTCTAGAGTCTCTGGTTTCGACGGTAGTTGGGGTCTAGGTATCCATAACATGTCATCAAGCAATAACGGTCGTAGTCTGCGATATACATGAAATAGTGTTCATGTCCTCTTGGGGCATCCAGCATCAAGCCTTCTGAGTAGCCTCGTAGTCATCGACCGACACCAGGCGTCCCACAACCTCGTACTTCTCGAGGAAGCGCTCCTCCCAGCCTTGCAGCGCCTCCAGCTGCTCGCTGTCCAGGCCCTCGAGCTTATCCAGCGGCCCGTCGAGGTCCTCGGTGAGCATGTCCTCGTCGAAGCTCCCGCAGGCGAGGCCGCGGCTGGCGTCGCGGCCGGCGAAGTTGGAGTAGGGCCCGCCGGGCCCGTAGAAGTTGCGGCCACGGGAGACGTCGAAGACGCGGCCGCGCACGGCGAGGTAGACGGGGGTGTCGTCCTTGCCGGAGAAGGGGAGCAGGGTGCGCGGGGTGTAGGTGCGGAAGACGGTGGCGGGGGCGTCGCGGGGGAGGGCCGGCGGCGGCGCGGGGCGCAGGAGCGCGTAGCAGGTGTAGAGCACGGCGGAGAGGAGAATGAAGTTGAGGGGCGTGATGAGGGCGGAGCTGTGAGGTGGGTTAATACTGCGCGGTCGGCGAGGGGATGTGGCGAGCGAGGGGATGTAGCGAGCGAGGGGATGTAGCGAGCGAGGGGATGTAGCGGGCGAGGGCGGGCGGAACGTACGCGCCGAGGTCCCGGGAGGCCTGGTCGGCCATCTGATTCTCGACGTAGTCCATGGCTAGTGGATGCGATGCGATGCGATGTGGTGCGTCTCAGAGGGAAGGAGAGCGACAGGAGGTTTATAAGTCGAAGGAAGACGGTCGAAGCCAGGTAGGTAGACGCTGACGCTGAGAACAGCCGGAGACGCAGGCGGGGGCAGCGTCGCAAAGTAATTCAAGGATAAAAGATCGAGCCGAAGTGCGTTGTGTTGTTTGGTGTGTAACTTGCAAGAAGGACCCAATTCCTCCGACGTGGCCGAGGTGGTGTTTTGGCTTAAACATCAACCCCCCCACTCTCTACACCGGCACCAGAGCTCCTCTCCCGCCGTGTCTTCCACCAATTGCTTCTGGGGCGTCCATTCTAGGAAACTATTTACGCACCCGCATCTACGTTGGGCATGTACATGTACCATGCAGTCTACTGCACGAATTACAGGCCGTCTTCCCTCTCGTCTGACCTCGGCCGGAAGTGCGAGTTCCAGCCCTCCCCCGGACGCCGGAATCCGGCATCCCCGGCTTTTGCTGATTCTCGGCAATTGAAGAAACGCCATCAGGTGGCGTCGACGCAATCGCAGGGTGATGTGTTGTGAACCCCTCCTTCTCTTCTTCTTCTTCTTCTTCTTTGTTTTCCCCTTTCGCTACGCGACCCCAGCTTGCATTTTGGGCTTTCCCATGTCGGAATCTCGGGAGTCGACGCATCCTAGTTTCGTATTCGTGTGTTCGTCCATGCCGGCCGGGGTTGCGCCATGGCGCCCGATCAATCAGTTTTGATCAAATCGCAAGCATCAGTCCACGTACAAACAGGTCAGCTCTGTTCACTAACTTAGGTGCGCATTGACTTCAACCTCAGACAGCACAACCAAGTTCGGTTTCCATAACACATTACATGCTGGCCTAGTTTGATCCTAACTTACCGTCATTCAATATCTAGAGGTGTTGTTTATGCCTATTACCTGGGTGCTGAGTAAGGGAGCGTCCAGTCTTTCTGTAACACCTTGATACCAATTCAAGGCTACCATCAAGGTACCTTACTTTGGGTCGTCAATTCACAGCCACTGTCTTTAACTAGAGTCGAGCAGAAACTAACGACGTTTGAGAGTCAATCGAGACAGCTCCAGACTTGAGCCCGGGAACACGCAAAAATGGAGATTGAGGGAATTGAACCCCCGACCTTCTGTATTTCCAGACTCGGAGCTCGAGTCATTGCAAAACAGATGTCATACCCCTAGACCAAATCCCCGAATTTGATAAAGATTTACGTCCTATTATGAACTATAATCGCCGCCTGGAGGGCTTTCATGGCCCTTTACCGTTAACATGCAATTCAAATACTTTTCCTCGGCATCTTGGCATCTTGGCATCTTGATAGTGAAAGGTATTATTGGATAGCATAAAAGTTCAAAACGCTCTTTACGGTTCTCTGAAGATATTCTAAAAGTAGTGGACTCTGCGGATCCCCTCCATTCTTAGTAGGCACTATACAAGTAATAGGTACCCGAAAGTACCAAGGCTTTTTCAACCTTGTGTGACTGTACAGGTGTGTATGGCCCAGCATCAGGCACAAAACGACTTGACAGCACGCACGTAGGATAGCTATCATTATGTATCCGTTCAATCAAGGACAACGCCATCCAAGGCCCCAACTCGCCTATTGCCCAGCTAGTATGAGGCGTCGTGAGTCAACGGCGAGGACTCAGCCATTGATGCGCTAAACTACGGCCTCCACAAGGTTGACAAGGCAGCATCGGCACAGCTTTATACGGACGGTCGGGGTATATAGCACCGACATCTCTTCCGTTTCTCATATACTAAAACAGAAAACTCCAAATAAAATCCTGGGTGTCGGGAACATGGCAGACTCATCAGCCTCATCGTCCGCCGAGCCGCTCTACTTCTGGCGCGAGACGGACACCGAGACGGGGTGGCTGTCGCAGTGGTACGATTGTCCGTTCAAGGACGATGAGGATCCCAAGAAGACCTACAAGACCGCTGAACAGTAAGTGATGGAAATGCAAGAAATGACGTTGAAATGAAGCCCCGGGCTTATTCAACTAGCTACATGATGCATCACAAGGCCCTCCTCTTCAACGACCCTGCCGTCGCCCTCGAGGTCCTCCGCGCCGACCACCCACGCAAGGTCAAGACCCTAGGCCGCAAGGTCAAGGACTTCGACCAAGCGATCTGGGAGACTAACTGCCGGGACATCGTGCGTCGCGGCAACATCCTCAAGTTCACGCACGCCGTGTCCAAGCCGGGCTTCCACCGGAGCACCGCCCCAAAGGGCAAGGGCGGCACTGAGCGGAAGGTGTTGACTCTGCGGGGGACGCTGAAGGACATGCTGCTGGCCACGGGCGACCGCGAGATCGTCGAGGCGAGTCCGTACGACGCCATATGGGGCATCGGGTTCACGGCTGCGAATGCCGAGGCTGCGAAGGAGTCCTGGGGGCTGAACCTGCTGGGGCTGGAGCTGATGGAGGTCAGACGTATCTTGCGGGAGCGTGACCAAGAAAAGGAGAGTCGTGGAAAGGCGGGAGAGAGTGATGAGCCATCCAAGAAGAAGAAGAAGAAGACCAACGATGACGACGTACAGGAGGCTGAAGAGGAGGTCGAGGAGACGAAGTAAGACAAAATCTAGAAGGGTGGTGAAGCGGCAACGCATGCAGGTTGGAGGACGAACGAACGAATGCGGGTTAGCAATCCCCTTATGTGATTAAAGAAAAGAGAAACCAGAATGATACAACAAGACACACAATCCATTGTCTGGCTTTCTCGAGTTTTTTCTTCTTGTTCACGAAGACTGTTCTTATCCAAGACTGGTTAGATCCCAAGTATACCTGGAAATGACGATGGAGAAAATCCCGATGCATCCAGAGTATCTCGCAGAAAAGGCAGCAGCTTGTGTTTGGCTCAAAGACCATTCAGCAAGTAAATGCCGTGTCGTGTCAGGATTAGGGATTCCCTATCTGAGTGTCTATGCCTTTCACACCCGCACTCTAATCCAACGATGCATGATTTCTCCGCCTCGCGCCTATCCCATCGTGTCTCACCCTTAATACATAGAATCGTACATACAAAGCTTCCGTGTCCCGTTGGAGGCAAGCAGAGCGGCGTGTTGTTTCCCCTTGGTCATATGCAGCCCAATACCTCGTCTCCCCCATATAAATCTTCATTGTTTTTCGGTCATGTCGAGAGCCCTGGTATCTTCCACATAATTGCACGTACTATACATATATTAACATGTCAGTCAGACCTTGACGCAGGTCGACCGCACTTCGTCTTTTTGTTTCACCCAACAAAATACTCCCCGTGACGCCGTCGGATGTGAGCGCCCAGTTTAATACCAGTCTCGGCCGCTCTTCTGCATCTCAATCAGACGCCATCCCCTTGTCTCAGGGTTGTTGACGTCCTCTGGCAATCGGGTAATACCGATAGCATACGTCACCAGCTGCACCTTGTCTTCCATGCCTGCCGCAAGCTGGTTGGTCTTGGCGTTGCGGTAGACGTGAACCTCCTGGGTGCGACAGGTGATGATGAAGACAGGCACCTCACCGGGATCCAGCATACGAGCCCGGAGAATGTCGACGTTCCTGATGTCCAGGATCCGTCCGTCTGACTTCATGCCGGCCTGGAGGTACTGCTTGGTCAGGGCCTCGTAGACAGAGTACTGAGCGGCGGACAGCCACAGCTTCAGCGTCTCCGTCTCGCCCTTGACATAAGCATCTAGTACTTCGGGAAGGATGTACTCTCGAAGCTCTTGAAGGAAGGGCTCGATCTGGAAGGCTGGGTCCATGGCTCGAAACTTCTTGATGACCATGGCCGTCTCGTTCTCGGCAAAGAACCCGGCGATGCGATCGGTGATGCTTCGGGCAGTCGAAACAAGAGGGTTTTCCGACTCCTCGTACTTGCCCTTCATGCTAAAGATTCCCTGGACGAAGCCGTTGGTGTCGCGGAAGTCTCTCCACGCCTCTTTCCAGGCGGCGTCCTTGTGAAGCGTCACGTTCGTGCCGGCTCTGTCGCATGTTAGCAATGCAATCTGTCGGGCGGGGAAATGCTGCCAAACTTACTCAGGATCTTCTTGGAGGACCTCGCCACCGCGAACTCCGCGCTGCTTCTCCAACGCCTCTCGTCTTTTACGGCGCTCCTCCTTCTCGACCCAACCGCCGTATCGTGAAGAGCTGCCATCGTCGATAACGTCCTTCACGTTCTTGTAGGCCTCAGTCTGACGGATGGGCTGCGTGGCCTTGTCCACAGCGTCGGCAGTGACGTTGGTAGCCTTGCGCACACCCTTGACAACAGTGGTGTCCCAGGTCCACGCGGCACCTTTGCCAATGGCTCCAGCAGTCGTCTTAACGGCTCCTCCGACGGTATCGGTGATGGCGCCAGTAGACTTCTCGTAGGCTTCACGGGCACGTCGAACTGACTCGCTTTCGGTGAATTGATGGGCAGCTGCGCCAATTTGTTTGGTCGACTCGTTCCACTCCTGCGACTTCTGGAATTCCGTGTTCATGGTTTCGGTGAAGACCTGCCAGGGGGACTTGTCGCCGTGAGGAGGAGGAGGGGGAAGATCTTCTTTCTTCTCCTCTTTAGCCTCCTCTTTCCCATCCCTAGCATCTTTGCCGTCTTTGTCGCCGTCCTCGCTCTCGTCGGTCTTCTTGGTCTCGTCCTCTTGGGATTTGCCTTCAGTTTCGGGGTCGACCGGCTTTTTTTCTTTAGCTTCGGTGGGGGTTTTCTCCGTCTTCGGCTTCTCGTCTTGCGAGAGCCTAGTGGAGGCGTGGAGGAGGCGAGATTGCACAGCGTAGGTGGGGTTGAAGCGGAGTTCGGAGGGGAGGAAGGAGGATCTCAAGGGCGAGCGAATTGCGCTGGACAGCATTGAGCTCTGTGATCGGGCCTCATCGTGGCTGGCATTCTGGGAGAGCTGAGAGGATAATCGGCGGTACGCAGGCGATCTGCCGGACGAGTTCAGGTGAACGGACGCCCGGGACAGGGCGTTTTCGGAGTGCGCCGCCTTTCTCGCTAGGGAATTCATGATTGCAACAACTCCGGAGGCCCTCCACAGAACGCGATTGATCGTGGATTAAAGGGCGATGAAGAAAAGAGGTATGGAAGTTCGTAGAATGCGCGGGAGGAAATTTTGGTTCTGCGATCTCGGTTGCGGGCGGAAAGGAAGGCGGCGAACCGGCAAAGCCTCGGCAGAAATGGCTGGCGTCGGAAGCTTCATGCAGTATATAAAAATTGGAGCGTCGGATCCCTTCACGATTGCACACCCACGACGGCGATGTGTACAAGATGAGCCACCCATTGACGAGCCGCCTCGCGGCGCAATCGTTTTCCCGAAGCCCCCGAATAACTCCGAATGCGCTGAGATGCTCCTTCCAGGCGGCTCGACCGCTGTCACACACCAGTGCTCGCCGCGCCGATGACTTTCCTCCCCCGCCCCCACGAGCTCCCCGGACGAAAGCTGCCAGACCAAGCTCGACGTCGCTCCTCGAGAACATCTACGGCACTTCGCAGCCGCAATCCGCGGCCCAGCCGTCACAAGGCAATGCGATGGCCAACCTGTCCCAGAGCCTCGTTTTCAAGACGCTCAGCAAGGGCAACAACCTCGACTCAGGACTTCTATCCGGCACCGGTCCCCGGGTGCAGGCAAAGGAGGATGACTTGGAGCCGTTCCACTTCCACATCTACTCCCACAAGCATAATACCCACATCACCTGCACGAAGCCTAACCGCGAGCCTATCATCTCCCTATCATGCGGCAACATCGGTTTCCGCAAGTCCCGCCGGGGCACATTCGACTCGGCCTACTCCCTCACAAAGTACGTCCTGGAGCGACTGATTCATACCGGATGGCCCATGAAAATCTCGCGGCTAGAGGTGGTGATGCGAGGCTTCGGCCAAGGACGCGAGGCGGCACTGAAGGTGCTTATGAGCCCGGAGGGCAAGGTGTTGCGTGACAAGATTGTCCGCGTGGCCGACTCGACGAGAATCAAGTTTGCTGGAACCAGAAGCGAGAAGCCGAGACGTCTGTAATCTCGGTCTCGAGGGCGATGTGTGGAGATTACTGTGAGGGATAGAAAACCTGAATGTACCATACGTTTGTACGACATGTACCATACAAAACCATACAAATAAAAGCAGACCACAAATCCGATTGCTGCAGATGTGATTAAAGAATGACTCGCTCCTGATCCAAAAACCCTTGGTATCATGTTGACCCGTTTGAAAAGGAGCGCCGGCTCC